CCCCCCCGTAACCGCCCAAACCTGACAGGCAGCCAGGAGCTCCTGAACACCCGTCTGGTGGCCTCGTCGATGAACTGGCGCTTTCTGCTGTTCAGAGGAAGGAGGCAGAGCCCGGTGGATGGCTCTGTGATGCACTTCTCCTTCAGCTGCAGGTAGGTGAGGTTCTCGTGGGTGTTGGGGTCGAAGAAGCCCTTGGTGTCATCGCTGGGGTCAGAAAGGATTAAGTTCATCTTCTTGTCGAAGTAGCCGCGCCGGTAGGCCACCTCCACGGGGATGCGGTGGCTGTTGACGGGGTCGATGATGCCGCCAGTGGCGATCTGGGCCTCGAGGAGGCGGATGGCGTGTTCCTTCACAATGAGCTCCTTCGTCATGGCCTGGAAGAGGGAGATCTTGTTCCCTGAGTAAGGATCCCTGTAGCCGGTGACCGATTTCTCTGCAGCCAGCAGCTTGTCGTAAACATCTGGGCCGATGACATTCGCTCTTAACGCCTCGTCCACGGAATACCTTTTGTTGGCCGCTGGGTCAATGATAAAGCCAGTAGCAGCCTGTGCCTCCAGCAGGATCAGAGACGTTCCTGGCCTCAAAAGTCCTTTCCGCTTCGCCTGGTAGATGCTGATCTTCTCCTGGGAGTCAGGGAGCAGGAGCCCACCGATGCTACCCGTCCCTTGCAGGTACTTCTTGACGGTGTCCATGCTGACGACTTCTTTGGCTGATGTTTCTCCCTCCTTCAGTTTCTTGAACAGATCTTTGTTGATGATCTCAGAGCTCAGGAGCTGGTCAGCTGTCACTCGCTCCCTCAGTCCTTCGAAGGTGACGTTAGTGGTGGAAGCCGTTTCCTGGATGGCAGCACTGACTGCCTCACCCAACTCTTGCGCAGAGAGCGTTCCCGCGAGGTACTGCTGGCTGAGGGCAGCTCTTTGCTCACTCTGGATGTAGTCTGAGAAGAGCAGTTTCCAGAGAGACACCGACTTTCCCTTGAATTTACCCAAAGCAATGTGCACCTCTGTGTTTTCCAGAGCCGTTTGGGTCCTGTGGTCAAAGAAGAGGTGGGTTCCCTGGGATCCTTCTCCGCTCTCTCCACCAAGGGGCAGCAGAAGGAGCCCCGTGTTGGGATCAGTGACACAGCGCTGGAGCAGGTCGGCGTAGATCAGCTTCTCCTTGGAGATAGGGTCGAAGAACCCTTTCATGTCATTGGTAGGGCTGGAGAGGAGCTGTCTTGTGGCCTCGTCCAGGTACCCCCATTTGCACGCCATCTCTGCGGGGACACGGAGGTGCCTGCCCGGAGCAATTATACCTCCCGTGGCCATCTGAGCCTCCAGGAGGCAAATGCCATGATCCTTGGGGACAAAGCCCTTCCTGATGGCTTGGAACAGAGAGAGCATTTCTCCGCTGTAGGGATCCCTGTATCCAGTGATGGTCCTCTCAGCGGAAGACAGCTTCTCGTGAAGCTCTGGGCCGACAAGACCAACCCTGACAGCCTCATCGACTGAG